ACATTAGTATTATATTAATGCAGATAATAATAACAAGTCAAACGCTGAAATTGTCTTTAAGGTTTCTTCGTTTTATATGTACCTACACCTGCATTTAGAGTACATGTGATGAGTATGTGAATAGTATATAATAGTGGTGGTTCTTCTTTTTAACATTATTGATTAAAAAAGATACACATTAAATTTTATTTAATATTAATAAATTTTGTTCTACTTTATAATTGCTGTCATGAGTTTAAAATGACATCACTGGTAGGATATATTTGTACATAAATATTTAGATGATTCTGAATAATAAAAATAAAATGTATTTTCTGTAATAATGGCACAACATATTTTTATAAAATACAACAAGCGTAATGTACACTAAATTAGTAATCTGGCAATGATCTTTTTTGCTTTGGTTTTTATCGATTCCACATCACGGACACACACACTCAACAACTAAAGCAGTATAATAATGGGTGGGATTTGTAAACATATAAACTTAAGGGGGTTTGACTGTTAGAAATTGTATAAAATATTTTTAGTTCTGGAAAACAAATATTTTTGTATGAAGACACTTCTTTAATGATGCTAAAAATATCCCCTTCCCAAAAAAAATACAAAAATATAAGAAATCATAAAACTTCAAAGCATTTCTTACTGTCATTTTTGTTTTAATTTTTGTAACCCAAATTCAATAATTATGATGTTTTTCTTTGCTTACCTGTCATGTAATTGTAGCTAGATTTCCCAAATTCTTCCCGTGTATATTGTATGAATAATGTGTCCCTTGGTATTAAAGACTACAGATAATACTTCAGTTGAAATATTTATCCTAAGCACAGATATACTGTTAAATCTGTAAGAAACATGGTCAGATCAAATAAAATCAGCCTCTAGTTAATATCGTCTCTTGTATTTAGGATTCCTGTTCAAATCTGTGTTAAAGATGACACAAACAGTCGACAGGAAACATTTTCATGTTCCCGAGATCTCATACTTTCTCACATGCCTTACTTCCGACAATTTCTCAGTGAAGAAGACCACTCTACTGAAGTAGAAATTTCTGTTCACTGTGATCTGGAAGTATTTCGTAGACTAATATCTTTTGTGAAGAATCACCAAACTGGTTCCAAGGACTTTGAAATAGGTGAGAATTTACAACCATTGTCATTAGTGTTATTGTATCTAATGGTGAATGAAACAGATAATATAGGACTAGGAGTGATTGCTAATTCTTTATAGTATATATATAATTTACTTCTTACTGTTTTGATAAAGTTTCTAATCAGACTTTTGCTCCTGAAATATGATGGAAAGAAATATCAGAATCTACAGTTTTGTGATTTCTCTGTTGAAATATTTTCTGAATGCAGTTTAATAGTCAAGGAAATAAGGAAAGTCATTTAAGTAAATACTTTAGCTGAAAATGAAAGGTCAAGAGTTTGAACAGCTTACAAAGTCTTCCCCATTCATTTATCACTTACATTCAACTGTACAAACCATTGTTACAGCTACAGTGTTTTAACAGCTGACAAAGTCTTCCCTAATCATTTGCAGGGTTGAATATGTTATATTGAAATGATTTTGAAGATGCATATCAGCAAGTCATGAGACTAGATGACTTATGGAAAGCTTGCATAGGGGAGAGGTATGCTTTAGATATGATAGTCTTATGACAGAGCCTTTTGCAATGGAAACTATGTTGCAGGACTATTGTCAAGATGCATAGTCAGCAGAGAGAGAATGGCTGCACATGGCAACATGGGCTGTAACAATGTCGTTAAACTTTAAACTTGGTTTAATATAACATACTATTCTTTTTGTTACATACATGTACTGTAAACATCACTGACAAAACTTTCTCTGATCATCTAATAAATACATATAACTGTACAGACCATGTTTATTACCTGTAAGTACATTTTTTTAACAGTTGACAAAGTTCTATCAAATCATTTAATACTCAACTGTACAAAATTTAATTATTCTTCAGCTTTCAATTGGTTGTCAAATCTTCAGTCTGTTGGAGGTCAGGTTAAGGTTCACTGCTGATCCCCACAGCTTAGTATGTAGGTCTGCTCCCTTTGGCCAAGTCTGAAATCTGGGTGGAGGGGTGATATCTGCCTGTGTGCAAGATACAATGTTGTGTGTCTGCAAGGTTGTTTTTATTAGAATGGGCACGAAGATCACAGTGTCCGGTTTTTAGGTGGTAGGTGGTTGTAGCCCACCCTCCATTCAAGAATCTGAGTGAATCTTGGTGTGGGTTGTAGGTTTGGGTTTCTCTGAAGGTAATGGTGGCTAAAGAAGTTGCTCTTACTGTATATATATACACCTGGAAAAAGTTAAGCACCCCCGTGTTTTTT